TTATTTTTAATTATATATTTTAATATATATTGTATTAGGGACGGCTACACCGTCCCTAATATATTATTTTAATTATATATTTTAATATATATTGTATTAGGGACGGTCAGGACCGTCCCTAATACATTATTTTTAATTATATATTTTCATATATTGTATTAGGGACGGTCAGACCGTCCCTAATAGGTTAATTTAATTATATATTTTAATATATTATTGTATTAGGGACGGTCAGGACCGTCCCTAATACATTATTTTAATTATATATTTTAATATATTAATGTATTAGGGACGGTCAGACCGTCCCTAATACATTAATTAAATTATATATTTTAATATATTAATGTATTAGGGACGGTCTGACCGTCCCTAATACATTAATTTAATTGTATATTTTAATATATTATTGTATTAGGGACAGTCAGGACCGTCCCTAATACATTATTTGAATTGTATATTTTAATATATTAATGTATTAGGGACGGTCAGGACCGTCCCTAATACATTATTTTTAATTATATATTTTAATATATTATTGTATTAGGGACGGTCAGGACCGTCCCTAATACATTATTTTTAATTATAATTATTATATTAAACCGTCTATATATATATATATTGTATGCTTAATTTGTGAATTTAACTATTCCGGATACATACATACAAAACATATACAAAATAGATCCACAATAACATTCAAAAAAATATTACTATCCATAGAATAAAATCAATCCACAATATATATATTCAAGATCCATAAAATATAAAATCTCTAGTTTTCTAAACAAAAACTAAAACCATGTGGTAGCACAAAAAATTATTCCATCCTCTTCAAGATCCATTATTCATTCTGTTGGTGGTTGTGGTGGTGCTTGCTGGTGAGACCATGTTGGTGGCGGCAGCTGATATTGCCATCTTGTTGTTGGTGGCGGCTGCTGAAAATACGAGTCTGCTGGAGGTGGCGGTGGTTGTTGATGCCAATTTGGTGCGGTTTGCTGCTGTTGGGAATCTGATGGAGACTGTTGTTGGTGGAACCATGGTGGCGACTGCTGCTGCTGTTGGAATTGGAGGAACCATGGTGGCGGCTGCTGCTGCTGCTGCTGATATTGGAGGAACCATGGTGGCGGCTGTTGTTGGTACTGCTCAAGCATCTTCTCAAGTTTTTCTATTTTTTCCGCCATTTGTACACTTCTTTCTTCAGCAATTTCGGCCCTTTTCCTAGAAGCCTCATCATATGATGAAGAGGCACGCTGACGCTTTGGAGCCACGAAACCATGTCCGAATCCACGGCAATATCCCTTCCTTATGCCTAGTTGGTTTTGTACTATCTCAACATCATTTATGGATGGACTCGTACCATCAGAATTTTGAGAATTTTGTGCAGCTTTTTCTTTCATTGCATCCTGCAAAATATTTAAGTTCGCTATCAAATTAAAAAAATATGGCATAGGAATAAATCAAGTAATAACAGAAAATGTAATCACACATGCACCAGCACATAAAAATAGAGAGATTAAAGTGATTCGGTTTATAACATGCGCACATACAGTAAACAATGGCATTTCTTGTATGCCATTTCTTGTATGACATGCTGTTTCTCAACAAATAGAAAAAAAATTTGTACATTTAAATAAATTTAAGGCTCACTACTGTCGAAATTATTGTTAGAAACTTTGTGGGTAGTTGGTGCACCAGAAAAATATTAGCAAACAAACCATGGGTTTGACAGAGCTAATTTTTTCACAAAAACTCTCCATTATCATTATAATGTGGTCTGATACGAGTTTAACACACAAAAAGTATCCATCACTGCAAAATGGTTGATCAAATCATTAAGGTTCTGGTATTTTAATAGATTAGAATGGAGCCAAAACGCAAGGCACTTTCTGTAACTTGCAACTCTAAGGCACTTTCTCAAACATGGTAAATGGCTGCCCATGTTGTCCCCGTTGCAAGTTGTGCGATTCCATCACCCACATAGCCAAATTTGATATGAAAAAGGAGTGATGCATTTTGACATTTAGTAGAAACCAACTATCTCTCCAAAATCCTAATGGTGGGCTCTGGGGCCACAGTGAAGTTCCAATTTTGTTTTTCCAGTCTTTTTGTGCTCTGGAGTTGTTTGGTAAAATAAAAGAATAAGCATAATGTTTTATATTAGCATAACCAAAAAAAAAAAAAAAAAGAAGGTATTTGAATGAGTGCATTTGGGAGTCCATGTATTGACCTTATAAATCTGAAAAAGATGAACATCAACCTATATATATTTTTCTAATAAGCTAAAAAAAGCTTTTAGCTCGTCATATGAATATATATATAAAAGCTAAAAAAAGCTTTTAGCTCGTCATATATATATATATATATATATATATATATATATATATATATATATATACACGTTAATTGAATAATAAACTTAGAATCTCCTATCACTATTAATGATAATAAAGTCAATCATGCAAACACAATATGGTTGGAGACATACGACCTATAAGCTCCAAGAGTCACCAAAATAATTCATCTTTTCTTTAACATTCCTACAAATGGGATTTTATGTTTTTGGTGGATTTTCAAAGTTACAGCCACCCAAACATAATAAAAGAGTACGGATAATTATATATTATATATATGTGCAACCTCACATAAAGCTTATGACATTAAAGTGCTTGCTTCATGGAAAATCACTTCTCACTTTCTCTACATATATATTTAGATAATCATAAAACATAAAAGTGTGTATATATATATATATGTAACAACCACACATAAACCTTATGCATAAAAGGGTTGCTTCATGGAAAATCACCTCACTTTCTCCACACCCCCATACACAAACAGACAGACAGACAGATATATTCATATATATATATAAATGGGTCACTACTTGTTAGAGCAAAGTGAGGCTTCCATTTACAAGCTAATTCCTACCAATTTGAAGGTTTGGCAGACATTTATCAGTTTTAGCTACTCCTTACCAGTCTAAAGGTTTGGAAGATTTCAGGAGAACAAATTAAAATCAATGGCTATTAAGATTAATACATTTGGGCACTATATTGGCCGAAGACAGAAATAAAAATTTCAAACTACTATATGGTTACATTACCATAAAATAGTTTGACATTATTGTGAGTTATTTTTATTTTTATTTTTATAAAATAAAAATAAAAAATTAAATGGTGCTAGCTAGCTAGATTCACCTACAGGTTGAACCTAAAATGAAGATGGAGACTTTATCGATCCTCAAAAATATTCAAGTGTCTGACTCGTGAACTCAACCTTAATGTATTTAAGCTTTTATTCTGTTCATGGTTTAGGTAAACAAAACATTTTCATTTTAACTAACAATGAAAGATAGGTGAAGAGATTGAGGTCAACCTTAGGAGTTAAAGTATGAAAATTGGTATTAGATGGGGGGTTAATAAGGTATGGTGTCTAGGTCAACATAGGAGCATCATGACTAAGTATTAAAGGGAATAAAAAAGGTTCCCCCATTGAACTCGGAGCATCTTTCTTAGTAAGATTTAGGAGACAAGGTGGATGGAACATCATTGGAGATAGTCTAGATCTGATTAAATACCTTGACAGTAACTTTGAAGAAATTAACAATAAACTTATTTAAACTGTTGGAAAAATGAAATTGCAGCTTCCTAAACAACTGAATCTAAATAAAGACCTAAATTATCATGAAAATTTGCAGCCAAATCAACCAGATCACACCATTCAAAAAGTATGTAACAATAAAACATAAGAACAAACAGAAAATCTATTTCAACTATATCTCAAGAAATATATAAGGAATACATAACAGAATATATAAGGAACACATAACAGAATATATAAGGGTTTATAAAGTTCCATCACAATAGTACCTCCTGATTTTGATAGTCTCCACCAAGCCCGAGATTCTCTTCGAAACAACAATGAATCGCTTCTGCAAACCTGTATTTCCCACAGCGATTCAGCCTCAGACCACAAGCCGACTCCAGATTTGGTGAAGATTGAATCTTGTGATTCGGTGAAGATTGAAGCCCAAAGAATGTTTGATTAAGAACCTCTGTCTTCTGCAACGGTGGAAGAGGGTGGAAGAGCCTCCGTCTTCTGCAACGATGGAAAAGGGTGGAAGAGGATGGAAGACGGTGGAAGAGGATAGAAGACGGTGGAAGAGGCGTGATGGCTTGAGCGTTCAGAACTGAAGACTAGGTATACAAATGTAATGAGATATATGATTAAACGACGTAGTTTATGCCCCTTTTCAGTATTTTATAAAATAAAATTATTTTATATATTATATTTTTGTAGCGCCAAACAAAAAATGAAGTGCCAAATGTTACCGCGCTATTTTTTGTGGAATTGGGGACGGGCTAGTTTAGGTTTTAGGGACAGTCTTTAGAGTGTGCCAAAAAATAAAGTTTTAGGGACGGGCTAGTTAAGGTTTTAGGGACAGTTTATGAGATTGTGCCAAAAAATAAGGTTTTAGGGAAGGGCAAGTTAGGTTTTAGGGACAGTCCTTGAGACTGTGCCAAAAAATAAGGTTTTAGGGACAGTCCTAAAAAACTGTCCCTAAAACATAGGGTTTTAGGGACAGTTTTTAGGACTGTCCCTAAAGGACTGTTACTAAAACCCATATTTCTTGTAGTGAATAAACTAAAATTTACCAGTTATGCGTATACATACATAGAGATCCTGACAATGTGGGGTGACCCATGTCCCATCCTCCCTATAGTGTGTTTCGGTGATAAAATGTCACCATGTCTAAGTCCTTTTCAGTCTCCATGTTTTGCTATTTTAGTTAAGATAATCAGAACCGAATATTACTAATTTTACATTTGTAAATTTATATAATTACAAAAAATAATAGAACATAGAAAATAACCATTTCATAGCGAAGTGTGACAAACGGCTTTGAGCCACCACGGTGATTTGTTAGATTCTTTGCTTTGTTTGCTTTATTGACAGTGCTCCTATTTTGCATTTCAGTTTAATGAATTGTCATTACCTACCTAAGCCTACAAATATAAAATTACCATATGAATAGAAAAAGAACAGTGTACCTGGAATGTCGGGGTCATGAAATTTTCACATATAGCTTGCCAATTCCCAGGATGAACATTTCTATAAGGCTTTCTCCTAGCCCTCTCTACAATATCATCCCTGAAAGATTTAAAATGCATGTGCATGCGATTTTTATGTGATTGAAATCGAGCTGCAAGCCATTTGTCAAGTCCACTTCGAATGCGAGAATTTTCAAGATCAATCACAAAATTTTCCTGAAATAAAATAGATATATTGAGAATACTTGCTTAAATAACTTAGGGTATATAAAAGAATACAAAAACAAGGCATGTTTCATAATATTATCTGATTAACACAATATTATTAAAGGCATTCAGCAAACAACATTCAGCAAAACTTAGCAAACTGCATTAAAAAAAAAAAGAAAAAAAAAAAGAAGCAAGAATGGTAAATTCATTCAGGAAAATGCATTCAAAATAATTCAGCAAAATACATTCAGATTGTTTTCTCTTTTCTATTTTCTTCAAACAAGAGATAACTCTAAAATGGTAGATTAAGTATTGCTTTTAGCCTTCTAACTATGATAAATTATTAGAAGGGGGAAAGGTGTATTACTTGAATATGATGATAAAACGTGGCCTTATTTGCCGATTCCATGCGTGACCAAGTCCCACAAGTCATACGAGCATGCTCTCGACATATAACACCCACCATCGACTCGAAAACCTTAGACCAACCACCAATGGGCTGATACTTTCCCTCTGGGAAAGTAATATGTGGTTTATGACCACTATTAATCCTATATGCAATCAATTTTACGCCCCGACTGATACCACGCCCTTTTTTGGATGTGCTAAAAGCTGCAAAATCAACAATATCAAATGAGAAAACCTAGGCATAATTAATTTAAATTTCCCCACAAAATCGCAATATCAAATATCTCTATTATACTAATGTAGATTGCCATACTTTTTTTTTTTTTTTTTTTCAAATTTGTTAATATAGCATAACTTGTAAAATAATGTAATGAGAAAATCTTACATGCACTCGATGACTGATTGGTAGTAGATGTGGGAATTTGTGTGGGAGTAGGTGTGGTCACATGCTCAGCCTCAGGTGTGGGAGTAGATGTGGAAGTAAGTATAGTCATAAGCGCTCTCCGACGACCGGGTCTAGCCATATTAACCTGTCATAAGTTAGTATTTCACGATACAAATGAGTATAAAATAAATATTTATTACAAGTCTTGAACATACAATAATAAGTATACTTTAAAAAATATACATTATATGTAACAAAACAAAAGTGAGCTATAAAAATGAGGGGAGAGAGAGAGAGGAAGAAGAATAAGAAGAAAGTTATAACATACAAAATATATAGGAAACAGGTAACAAAAATAACACCACCATTTTCAAAAATGCCTCACTCGAGAATGAATGGGATGATAAGTGGTGGAAGTAGGAAGTAGTACTCAAGGAGTAATTCTAGAGTGAAAACGAATGGATTTTCTTCCACTTATATAAGAAAGAAAGCAATCAATAAAAAAGCTCGTGGGAACAAACAAGAAAAATGGAAAAATCATGGTGGATAGAGTATACTACTAATATATACTACAAAAGGTAGCACATAGTTTAGCTAAGAGATATCCTCAAAACAGGCTGTCCATTGAACCTATGAGTACAAACTAATGAACCTTTACATAACTAAAACATAAATTTCTTCATACAACGCCACAGATTACAAGAGCCTCATTTTACTTTCCTAAATGTTGAATTAAATACCCCTACTACTGAAAGATTTATGAAATATGTTCCTTGGTCACCTCAACTTGTCTACTGTGCAAGTTTCAATGAGATTTTTCACGTGCTAATCCTTACCTTTCAAGTATGACCCAGGAGTATGAGAGATGGAATGTTCAAAAATGCTTTTAGAAGTCAAATACAAAAAAAAAAAATTTGAAAAAATTTTTCTAAACCATTACCAAACACTAGAAAATACAAAATAAAAAAAATGAAAAAATATTATATATAAAATATTTTACAACAAAGCCTTAAATTCAATAGATTGGAAGCTCTGGAAATTCAGTAACCCGTGAAACAATATGACCATTAAGAGAGGCAATGGATGTACCCCTTTTCAAAATTAACCTTCCGGTGCAATGATTATATCATGTTTTAATTTAAAAAGTAGTTTAAAAGTTTCTTGAAATAGAAGACTTTTGACCGGATAGCATGGCTTATGGCCATGAAGCCCTCCCAAACCTATACGGTTTCCTTCATGTGTTATTAAAATGGATATTTAAAAGATTGGGGCAATTCATTGAATGGTAAATAAAGTGTTCATATGAAAAAAAGAAAAACACAAAATCATTTCAATAAAAGGAGGACTGAAAGACCTAACCACTTCTCTTAGCAGTAAATGTTCAAGAATTTTTAGGTTAGAACATTCCATCTAAACCCCTTACTTGTTTAATGAAGATTTTAAGGCAAAAGAAAACAAGAGAAATATCTTCCTTTTATATATATATATATATATATATATATATAGTAGGATGCTTTTAATATCTTCCTTTTATATGTATGTATATATAGCAAGAGAAATATATAGAGAGAGAGAAAGAAAGACCTAGTAATTGATATATGGACCGAGAGATTGAACCGATTGAATTATAGATTGCGAATACTGAACTGAGTAAAAGATTGAGTCTGACGATGAAAAACTAGGGCATCGTTTTCATCTTGAGAGGGAGAGAACAGAGTGAAAGATTGGGGTTTCCTTCCGACACTGAATACAGAGAGAAAACTAGGTTATGATTTTCATCTTTGGAGAGAGAACAGACAAAAGGCACGGCATGATCTGATTTGTCTTGAGAAAGAGTAAAGTTATCTCTCTCTCCCCAGTTATTCACGTGGCGTTAAAATTTCCCGCTCAAAATTTGGGGAGATATTTTGGGCAATTAAAAAAAAAATTTAATTCTTTTGAGAAAGTTAAAACTAATACCCAGCTATTCTATTTGCAAGAGTGGAATGGTCTAGCACTACACTTTCTGAAGACATTTTACCGAAAAGGCAAAGTCTCGCTGATTGGAGTTCTGTAGCCCGTGTCCATGTGTCTCGTCTTCTTAAGCTTCAGAATTATTCTCTTTTCATCCAAACTTAAATTTATTTATTTATTTTTAATGATTTTTTTTTTATTTAATTACTTTTGAAAATTACTCCCATGGTCTCAAGAAAATATGTTCTTTTTAAAAAACTATGACTCACTAATGTCTTTTTTGGGAAACTTTGAATATGAAGCACGGACACGGACATATGAGACACGAGTACGATACATTTGTGAGTCACAACTTCCTAAAATAGACATTTATTTTGAGAAAGGGGGAGTAATTCTTATGAAATCATCTCTCATCAATAATATATGAAGTACGGACATAGGACACGAGTACAACACGATAAAGATCTAAGGTTTGAAATTTTAAATTATTATATATTAGACTTCTAAGATTAATTATTTTTGTATAAACGATGTATTTAATTAGTATATAGTTTATGCTTTAGCTTTGTCCACTATGCAAAAAATAAGAAAATTAATTTTCAAAGAGGAAAATTTTTTATTGGAAAAGTTATAAAATATTTAAATTTCATTAAAAAAAAAAAAACATTGATGACCCACATTCGTATAGGCTGTTCTTTCTCTCTCTCTTTCTATCTTTAGACTACTGACTTATCGACATACATCGAGAACTACGTATGTACCCACACATATGTTGTCCAAATATGGTCTAAGTATACCATATACTATAGTATTTTATTTAAATATTATGTAAAAAATATAATGTGTATATATATAAAATTATTACCATAAAACAATAATAATATATATAATAATTATTATAAAACAACAATAATATATATAATAAAATAATAAAATATATTATTATATAATAAAATAAAACTATATAAAAATAAAAGATTCTCATAATATATAGGTCGAGGCTAAAATTTGATTCTATATACTTAAGACAGATTCGCCCCGCTATGGTGTTTACGGACTTAATGACGTCTATCTCCTAAAATGTAACGACCTTTCTTTCTTCAATAGTTGTACTATAAATTGAAAAAATAAGTGAACCGACTTGGTGCAGTACTCTCTCCTGTAGACTGGACTCAAACTCACACTATGCTCTATATATGCAAGTATGCAATAAGAGAGAATTAAGGAGGAAGAGGAAAATTTAGAAGAAGAGAAGTATTCTGAATTTCTATCTCCCAGGATGTAACGGCCTTTCTTTCTTCGATAGCAGCACTAAAACCGAATAAATATACGAACCGGTTTGGTGTAGTACTCTTTCCTATAAACCGGACTCAAACTCACACTATGCTCTATGTATGCAAATATGCAAGAAGAAAGAATTACGGAGGAGGAAACTTTAGAAGAAAAGAAATATTCTGAATTTTTGTGTGTTTTGCAAATGATCCCAATTGAGGTATTTATAGGCAGCAAGGTGCCTTTTCGGGTGGGTGCAACTATGGGACATGATGGTTCATTCAAATAGAACCAGGTGCAACCCTTTGGATAAAACTGGTTCGATCAAATTTAAACTAAAGCACTGGTTCGAACCAGTTACTGCAACTAGGGGTGGCAAAGTTTGACACGACTCGTCAATACGACTCGAGTTAAGCGGGTTGTGTTGACCTTAAACGGATTTGGATCTTAAACGGGTTGACACGATTAACCCGTTTAGTTAATTGTATCGTATCGTATCATATCGTATTTGGATTAAAAGATTCAACTCGTGTAACTCATTTATACCCGCTTAACTATACGTGTTATAAACAAATTTATATTTAAGCTCCAAAATAAATATCTAAACTTGTATCTAATAATTTATTATTTTGTAAATTAGAAATTATTTAGTAATTTGATTAGATTGAAACTTATATTTTTCTAATATTTATTATTTGATGAGTATTATTAATTATTTAAATAATATAATGTTTATTTTATTAAATAGGTCATTAATCGGGTTACACGTATAATCTGTTTAATAAACAGGTCGGGTTAATGTTGAGAGTTTCTGATATGATTATTAAATGGGCCGTGTTCGAGTTGAACTATTTAATAAAATACCCTTAGATCGACACGATACGACACGATTATAACCCACAACCACGAATTGTTACCCCTAGGTGTAACCCTTTGATGCGATGGTTCAGATCATGGTTTAGAACAAGAATAGAGATTGGAGGCAATTGGCAAGGTTAAATGATATGCCCTAATTTTTATTTTTTTGTGGCCATAATCCATGGGCCTATCAATTTTGAGACCCCATAAATTTTGTTTGTAACTCTGCATTGGTTTGCAGGACTGGGCCTTTTGTTTTACTATGGATTGGGTTTGGGCTGGGTTGAATGGCTGATAGGAAATAGTAGTACTTTGTTTAGCAATTATAGTAGTTAGCAAAAAATAGACTATTTGCGATAGATTATTTGTCACCAAAATTAGTTTTTTTGGCACAAAAAATAATTTTGTTACCAAAAGATTTACAATTTGAGACAAAATAAAGATTTGTCACAAAAGAGTTAATAATTGGCGACAAAAATCTATAATTTGTTACAAAAAATTGACTTTTTGTGACAAAAACTTCTGTTTCTAAAAATGTACTTTTTGGCAACAAACTATTTGTCACTAAATGTTAAGTATTTTAGAACAAATGATATTTTTGTTGACAAAAGATTCACAATTTAAGACAAAAAAGAGATTTGTCGCAAAAAATTAACTTTTTGGGACAAAAACTTTTATCTCTAAAAATGTATTTTTTGGCAACAAACTATTTATTACTAAATGTTAAGTCTTTTGGAACAAATAATATTTTTGTTCACAAAAGATTCACAATTTGAGACAAAAAAAGATTTGTCGTAAAAAATTAACTTTTTGGGACAAAATCTTTTGTCGCTGAAAATGTATTTTTTGGCAACAAACTATTTGTCACTAAATGTTAAGTCTTTTGGAACAAATAATATTTTTGTTGACAAAAAATTCAGATTTTGAGACAAAAAAGAAATTTGTTGCAAAAAAAACTTTTTGCAACAAAAGCTTTTGTCTCAAAAAAAATATTTTTTCCTAACAAACTATTTGTCGCTAAATGTATAATTTTTTGGCACAAATAATGTTTTGTTGGCAAAAGATTCACAATTTGAGACAAAATAGATATTTGTCGGAAAAAATTTGTCTTCTAAAACAGTGTCTTTGGCTTAGGCGACAAATTTACTTATTTGTTGCAAAAAAATACATATTAGGCAACAACATTTGAATTTGTCACAAATTGTAGCCTTTTGAAACAAATTTAATTTTCTTGCTAAAAATTTCGTCCCTCAGTATTTGTTGTAGTGTTCTAAGTGCTACGAAGATTACCTCATATAGTAGTTGGCTATGTTGTCCTCGTCAAAAGTAGAGCCTGTTTCTTATATGAATTACCAATTAGCTGCTTTTTGTCCTCATCGTTGATCGTGAGGGTACTACGGTTAAAAACTCTTCCGATGATGCTGATAATTCGACTGCGAAGAAGAACCGGTGTCAGTGCTGTAAGAAACAGAACAAAGTGACCGGATTCGGGTGTCGCTGTGGAGGCATGTTCTGTGGTGTGCATCGGTACCCAGAAACTCATTCATGCATGTTTGACTATAAGTACGCCGGTCGTCTTGCTTTGGCAAGAGAGAATCCACTCTGTGTGGGTGATAAGTTGGAGAATAGGATATGAACAATAAATAAGGTGTGCAAGTGTGTGTCTGTGTGTTTTTTCTTCCCTTTTTTGTAATTTGTTGTTGTTAGAAATAACATTGTAATTTTTCAATTTTCTAAAAGCTTTTTCTCTTTTTTTTTTTTTTTTTTTCTATTTTTTTATTTTTTGTCTATTTTTTATTTTATTTTATAATTTTAGTAATCAAATTTTTAGTGTTATTTTGCTAAGTCACATAAATTGGGAGGGAAAGCGAATTCGAGAGCCGAGAGCGTGAGATCGGCATAATTAAGTTATAAGTAGTGAACATTATAAATAGTGAGAATTTCTGAACATAAGAGCGAGAATGCACTTGGAACATGAGAACAATACCTGTTGAGAAGAATTGTGAATGTGAGAATAACACCTGTTGAGAAGGATTGTGTAACTTAAGTTTTTTTGCGCTTAAATTCTAGTCTTTAGACTCTCTATGTCAGTAAAATCTATATCAACCTTTTGCCACTCTTTGAAGTCTTTGAACTAACCCTAAAAAATAAAAAACCTAGCCTTAACCTAAACAAGCCCACCGTCACATATATTGTCATATTGGGCCACTAAATTTTTGGCCTGTTTTGATTCTCTTTGTAACAGGTTTAACTTAATCCCAAATTTTTTTATTTTTTATTTTTTTTTATCCATTACTTAAGTCCAATTAAATGGGTCTCTGTAATTATTAGGGCCTGTTTGGAGGCCCATATCTGTTGTTGTTTTCATGTTTTGGTTTCATTTTTGGGCCAATATCATGTTTGGAGTGGGCTGATATGGTATTGAACAGTGTAAAACCATTATGAGATTTGGGCCAAAACCCATATCAAAGAATTGGTGATATTGGGTGATATGGTATACTGTAACGGCCATATCAACCCAAACCAAAACCATATCAACCTTCATTTAACTGTAGCGGTGATATCAAGTATAAAAATTTGCATATCAGAAACCTAGCCATTTTTCATCGTCATTTTCTCTCTCATCGCGCAGTTCCTTTGGAGGCGATTTCATGGGCGATTCTTCTTCCTTTTTCTTACACCTTCGTTGCTAGACAAATCCATCAATCCTCCCGTATTTGGTTTCAATCTGAACCCTCCCTCGTTACATTATACATATATTACAAAACCTAGCCATTTTGCAGCCTCATTTTCTCTCTCTTCGCACAGGTCCTTGGAGGCAATTTCATGGGCGATTCTTCTTCCTTTTCTTTACAACTTCGTTGCTAGGCTACAGATCGATCAATCCTCCCATACTTGGTTTTCAACTCAATCCTCTTTCTGTTATGTGTTTGTGTGACCCGAATCTGAAACCTTAGAGTTCTTCGCAACCACAGATCGAAGCTTTTTCTCTGCAAATTTCTGTTGGTGATTCATTCTGTGTATCGATTTTGTCAACCGGATCTTTCAGGTGCTCTTTCCTTCTTTCTCTCTCTCTCTCTCTCTCTCTCTCTATATATATATATATATATATATATATATATATATATATATATATATATATATAAAACTAATTTTCGTTGAAAAATTCGAACTGATTTATATTGGGTTACAAATGATACTACTACTTATATGCAAATATATATTTTAGTTTATATATTTGGATCCATTGGTTTGTCCTACCACAAAAAGCAGTTCGAAAAGAATCGCACCAACACTCCACATGTCAACCTGTAAAGAGGATCCAAATGTTTGTTCATTCAAATTTGGGCAGAAATGGATCAAACAAACTTCTTACCTTTTCATCATATCTTTGAAATTATAGAATTTCTAGAGCCATGTATATTGGAGATCCACAAACTGCCTCTAATTTAATCCCTTGGTTGTACGATTCTATCTTTAGTTGAAAAGGAAATTAAAAAGAGAAACTAAGAAAATAAATAAATAGCAAATATTTTACTTCTTTCTAGGAAAATTCTGTCCTTATAAAACTTTTGTTTATAACATTGAGAGACTAAAATCAGCAATCTTCAGCACTGTCTCACTCTCAGGACTAGATAATAGAATGTTTTGCTCTAATTAGATCACCAACATTAGCCAATTGACAAATTCTTAATTTACAAAAAATCCAAATTCTAAAATCAATAAAGTTTAAACAAAATGAGAATGGGAAAACCTATATATATATATATAGGTTTAACTAATTATCCTTGAAATATTCCAACTGCAAATGATATGCAACTGCTACTGATTTAGAACCTTATTGATATGCAAATGATACTGCTACTTATATGCAAATATATATTTAATTTATAAGGTTCCATCGGTTCGTCTAAGTCTTTTAAATTGAACTAGAACCCTACTGATATGCAAATGATACTGCTACTGAATTATATGATTTGATTTGGTCTAATTCAATTTACTTCTGTTTAAACAAAATGATAATGGTTAAAGTTTTTCTCAAGCCCCTGAACGACCAATTTTACTTGGATTTGTGGATTAATTTTGCGGGCAGTGTCCCTTATTGAATTAATTGAATGAATTTTGTGGGCGGTGCCCCCTGTATGATAGGAATTAATTTTGTGGGTGGTGTCCCTTATTGAATTGATTGAATGAATTTTGTGGGCGGTGCCCCCTGTATGATAGGAATTAATTTTGTTTAATTTTGTGGGCGGTGTCCCTTATTGAATTGATTGAATGAATTTTGTGGGCGGTGTTCCTTGTTGAATTAATTTTGTGGCCGGTGTCTCTTGTGTTTATTGTGTTAGGAGAAATTTTGTAAATGTCAATTTTTAAGGGGAAACCATGCTGGATTTTTGAAAAATAATACAAAACTTTGATTCCAAAAGGGCATGTAGTTGATTTTTTAAACTTGAAATGGATTTTTGTTGTTTCAAGGCTTAGTAGAATGCAGCCATTCCATGGGAAAACCTAACTCTGGTTTATATTTTGCTAGTATAGGTAATGTCTTGCTTTGGAGTATAAATTCATTTTTTTCTTTTTTCTTAATGCTTCCTTATATCATTTTTTGCAGAATCATAAACTATTGTCAACCTAGTACCATGTAATCTATATATGCTTTTGGAAGAACCGGCACTACATTGAAGGACATGGCAGTAAGTTGTGGGCAGTGGCACCAGTGGGATTTATAGGAAGCATTCTCCAGTTTCTGCAACTCCAGGAAGCTAGTGATCTCTAAGTTAATCAAACGGAGGCCTATGCAAGTATAAATAAGTGTTTCTAGCTCCCTATGTGCAAGTATATGTGAATGGTGCAACAACAATTTATTAAATTTGTGATGTACAAAAAAAACTTGTGGTTTAGTATGTTATTTATGATTGATTAAAATCTTACAAAATATTTTCAAGTACTTGTTTGGATGACAAAATTTTTTCTAGTAGGTTATTTGGTTATCAAAGCTCGAACTCAAGAAAAAGGGGAAATGGTCTCATCAGTTAATAATAAAAATATAGCACTTTGAATGATCTCCAGTAGAAAATTTCAAACTAATCTCACTGAAATAAATCCATTCACAAGCTTCAATGACCACCAAACCTCAACTCTGACCAATTCAAGAAGATCAACGTTTTGGCTTTGCTTCTTATTAGTTTTAATTATAAGAATCTCTTTATCTCATTCGCAATTAATTTTTAATATATATATATATATATATATATATATATATATTAAATGGAGTGCAAGCCAAAACAAAAAGAGAATGGAGTGCAAAGATCTCCTGAAAGATTATTACAAAGTTAGATTTGTAGTTTGGTTGTAGGTTCTCATGTTTATGCCTCACAAATATCCCACATGATCTTATTTATACATGTGAATTTATTCATAATTTTTTTCCCAACTCTTTTTAATGTTTTAATAATTTTTTATTTTAACAAATTATCTCAAATCATAAAGAAAAATGGACTATTATACATAAAAACTTAATAATTGTATTCATATATATAATTATTCAAAACAAAAACAAAACAGTCTTTACCAAACAGGTATCCTAGTATTGATTCAGAATTTTTTACAACAAAACTAACTTCCAAACGTGTTTTGTTTTCAGATTCCTTAAGATGCATGACATTACCAAACGCGTTTTCATATTTTTGATATACAATTATCAAAAACAAAACAGTCGTTACCAAATATGGTTCCGATTTCTACTAAAAACATACGAATACCAAAACGATTATTTTCATGTCATACCAAACCATAAGATATACCAAATCATAAGATATATCGTTATCGCGATCCAAACGGGCTCTTAGTTGTACTACTTTACATCAGTACAATTTGTTTGAATTTTCAAAACAAATTAAAAAATAAATAAATCTCTCATGGAGCACGTGGAATTTAACTCTTCTGGTTATAACGTGGCTCAAGCCCATGTGGATATGGGCTAATTAAATATTAGCTCAATCCTGATTCTGTCATTGATGCAAATGATGAAATGGATCACAAGTTAGTCTAGGTTTAATTTGTCGCCACAACCAACAATCATTTCTCATATTCATATCGAATATCAGTTATGTATAATAATAAAAAAAATCTGATGGAGTAGAGAGTGGGGATTGACCACAAGGGAAGTGTTTTCATTTTAAATTTTATCCTAATACTAATACTTAATGCTGAGCCAGAAATTTAATTCGAGAGTATATTAAGTATGATAAAAAAAAAAAAAAGTTTTTAAAAAAATCCCACTAACTAATGGTGTGTAATAGGAAGTCGAAAAATTATAGCTTAGTAATAATGCTTTAATGTGTTTTCATGAGTCGTGTATCTTTTTCGTTAATTTGCCAACGAAAACACAGGTAGAAAATGACCGTGAAATGAGCTTTCCCAGGAGGGTAAGGCTATTGTGGTGGGTTTGGCTTCATTTTGTCTGTGGGTGATTTGGAAGGCTGGAATCCTTTGTTGGTTGCAAATTTGGCTTCGACTCGATTTTGAAAATTTAACAAAAAAACAATATACCTCTTAATAGATTGAGTTATGGGATTGGAAATTTGATAAATTACAAAATTAAATATAAATTTACTAACATATAATTTGTCTAATTATTGTATCCGATTATATATATTTCTTATTGGATTCAGTCAGACTGGTTGACAGGTCTAGAATGCCTTTGGGCTAGTAAATAAGAAGTATACACACACTGCTCAAAATAGGCCAACATAAAACGTAGCCCATGATTTAAAAAAAGGTAATTCGAGGGCTTAAAAACATTATGTTAAAATACTCTTTTATGTAAAATATATACTGTCATATATAATTTGTAATTTTTTTTAAATCTTCAGCAGTTACATTCATCAATCTGTAAAATTATTGTATATTTTACACAACCTTTTTACATAGCTACATCAGCATATTTCACTCTTCTCAATCTTTCTCATTCCATTAACGAATCAACCTATATTAAGTAGGTTTATATATATATATATATATATATATATTTAAGTTTGATGTGACATAATAGCTTTATACAAAAAAAATTTATATATATATATCTATATATATAAATAAATAATTCAAATTTTTTTGTATAAAATTATTATGTCACATCAAATTTAAATATATATATATATAATACAACGGTTGGAGACGCTCTAAGTATATTATAGAGCTCTCCTTTTACACCTATTGGATTAACAAACTTGAGTTACGAGCAAGGAAGATATCAAATGTTAAAGGAAAAAATAAAGTTTCCTTATTCTAAAAAAGAAAAAGAAAAAAGGAAAAGAAAAAAAGGAAACATAAAACCAATAACCCTATTTTTTCTCTCCCTCTCTGGTCTCTTCATCTCATTGCGTGATTTTTCTGGTTTATAGTTTCAGAGCAACCAAAAACCGAAAAGAAAAAAAATAGTATCAGAGATTAAATATTCGGATAAAAATAAAAATATAAAAGATTATTGAAAAAAAGGATTAATTGAAAATAATTAAACAATTGTGATTTTTTCTTTTTTCACACAGCAAGAAGGAAAAAAGAACTGTGTTTAATTTTGGAATTTATAAAAAACAACCGTACATTGGTCAAGATTTGCAAAGGACAGGTTACTTGCCAGAGAAGAGAGACCGTTCTTTTCTTTTTTTTCTTTTATTTATTTATTTATTATTATTTTTTAAAGGTCAATACAAAATAGGAAAGTTACCTTCCTAGTCCAAGTAGGACTATATATTGTGAGTACCTAAAGTCATTGAAAGAGTTTGAAGCCAAAATCAAGAAAACCAAGAAGAAAAAGTAAGAGGCAATGGATTCGAGAGACAGACGGAAAACGATGGAGGATACCACAAGCTGCTACCAACCAGAAACTCCGCCGCCGCCGCTGCCGCTGCCGCCGCAGATGTGTGCGAAAGGCGGTTGTGGCTTCTTCGGATCATCGGCGCTTCGCAACCTTTGTTCCAAGTGCTACGAAGATTACCTCATACAACAGCTGGCTATGTTGTCCTCGTCAAAAGTAAAGCCTGTGTCTTCTACGAATTACCAACTAGCTGCTTTTTGTCCTTTTCGTGTTCACGAGGGTACTACGGTCAAGAACTCTTCTGATAAGTCGACTGCGAAGAAGAACCGGTGTCAGTGCTGTAAGAAACGGGTCGGAGTGACCGGATTCGGGTGTCGATGTGGAGGCATGTTCTGTGGTGTGCATCGGTACCCGGAAACTCATTCGTGCACGTTCGACTACAAGTACGCCGGTCGTCTTGCTTTGGCAAGACAGAATCCACTCTGTGTGGGTGATAAGTTGGAGAATAGGATATGAACATACAATGAGTTGTATAAGTGTGTGTGTCTCTGTGTTTTTTCTTCCCTTTCTTGTAATTTGTTTTGCTGGGAATAATAACATTGTAATTTTTCTATTTTTTGAAAGCTTTTTCTCTTTTTTATTTTTTTTTCTATTTTTTATTTATTTATTTTTAATAATTTTAGTAATCAAAATTTTATTGTTATTTGTGCTTTAAATTCTAGTCTCTAATCTTTATATCAGTAAAAACCTATATCAGTACCTTTTGCCTCTCTTTGAAGCCTTTGAACTAACCCAAAAAAAAAAAAATGGCTAGCCCTAAACTAAACAAGCCCACGGTCGCATAAGTTGTCATATTGGGCCGCTAAATTTTTGGCTTGTTTTGATTCTCTTTGTAACATGTTTGACTTAACCCTAATTTTTTTTTATCCATTACTTAAGCCCAATTAAATGGGTCTCTGTAATTATTACTACTTTACATTAGTACTATTTGTTTGAATTTTTAAAACAAATTAAAAAATAAATAAAAATCTCATGGAACACATAGGACTTCCTAGTTATGTTGTGGCTGGAGATTAGCCGATGTGGATATGGGCTGATTAAATATTCGCCCAATCCTGATTCTAAGATTGCTGCAAGTGATGAAATGGATCTCAAGTTAGTCCAGGTTTAATTTGTAGCCACAATCAACAATCATTTCTCATATTCATTTCGAATATCAGTTATAAATAATAATAAAAAAATCAAATGGAGTAGAGAGTTGGGACTGACCATAAGAAAAAGTGTTTTCATTTTAAATTCTATCATATATTCAGGGCGGAGTCACAAATTTGATTCGGGTCATATTAAGCATGACCAAAAAAGTTTTTTAAAAAATCCCACTAACTAATGGTGTAATAGGACAAGTCGAAAAATTATAGCATAGTCATAATGCATTAACGTGTTTTCATGACTTAGGTATCTTTTCCACCAATTTGTCAACAAAAACATTAAATAGAAAATGATTGTGAAATATGGCCTACATGTATAAAATTTTACTAATAAATTTAAAAAAAAGTGAGTTTAGTTTGTAATTTTAAAAACAGTAGTAAAAAATTTTAAAAATAGAAAATAGTTTTTAAAGACCAATAAAAGTCAGTTCTATTAAAACATGTTATTTTATAACTAAATTTTCAAAAAAAATTTTCAAAAAACTGAACTATGTAGAATTTTTTTGTACAATTTTTTATTTTCATCTTTCTATATCAAAAAATTGTTTTCAGAGTTATAAACCAATCAAAGTTAGTTTTGAAGAGAATAAAAATAAATGAGAAGAAGAAAAAGAATTCAAAGAGATTTTTAGAAAGAAAGAAATAAATTATTTTTTTGTGAGGGGTGGATTCTGTAATTTTTTACAAATTATATATACAATATTTTTAAAAAAAAAAAAAAATTGCAATCAATATTCAATAAACATATAGTATTAGTGACCCACACCACTGCATAAATAAACCACAAAATCCCCACGTAACAAGTGAACAAAAACACGTCATCAACAACAAACAAACATCTGATATTCCGATCTCTATTTCGTTATTATCCTTTCTTTTATTTATTTATTAATTTGTTTAATTTTTCCAATCATTTCACTGAAATCGCTCTCTAGTCCCTCTCTTCACGTTTTCCAACCCGCCGAATCGCACGTGCCACTACCCCCTCTCTCTCCTCTTTCTCTCTCTACAACTTTTTTCTCTCTCATGACGACACACTGCAACCTGTAACAAACCCTAACCATCCGAAATCAAAGCAATGGAGAACTATTCGAACTCTTCCTATCCAGATTCCGGCAACTCCTCGCCGCAATCGCGAGAGAGTGAAAACGCTTTGTGGGAAGAGCCTCTTTCGACCAACTACAAGGTCAAGTTCATGTGCAGTTACGGCGGCAAAATTCACCCTAGATCGCACGACAATCAACTCACATACGTCGGCGGCGACACCAAGATCTTGGCCGTCGATCGGAGCATCAGATTCTCGGCTTTCATGGCCAAACTCTCATCTCTTTGTGCGGACCCGGAGGTGTGTTGCAAGTATCAGTTACCGGAAGAAGATCTGGACGCTCTGATCTCGGTAACCAACGACGAGGATCTCGAGCACATGATGTTGGAGTTCGACCGGTTGTACCGTGTGTCGGCCAAACCGGCGAGACTGAGACTTTTTCTGTTCCCTCTGAACCTTCCGGCGAGTTTTGGGACGAACGAGACGAAATCGGAGAAGCAGTGGTTCGTTGACGCTTTGAATTCTGCGGTGCAGATCCAGTCCCTACAAGGTTCTGCGCCGCCGCCTGCGGAGGTGAATCCGGACTTCTTGTTCGGTTTGGATAAAGGACACGCGCCGCCGGAAGCGGCGGCAAAGCTGCGAGATCCGACACCGCCGCCGACAGTTCCGGAGGTATTTACGAGGGAAATTCATGCGGGATCGGACAGTGGTTCGGAGGACCGGCACGTCATCGGCGATCCGGTGGTTTCGCCGTTGGAGATCCAGAGGCAGATGCAAGATTTGCAGAGACTGCATATCTCTGGCCATGAACAATCTGTGTTTCACAAAAAAAGCGACGAAACGAACCCTGGGAATTATACCGGAGCGTATTACGCACAGCAAATTCCAGAAAAGCTTCCACCGCCGCCTCAGACGGCGGTTCCGGCAGCGTACATGACTGCCGGAGGTTACACGGTGGCGGCGCCTTCGCCGCTATCAGGACCTGAATCGCCGGTGTACCTCATTCAGACGCCTGCTGGAGTGTATCAGGCTTCGGGATTGCCACCGGTGACTGGCCAAGTGGGTCAGGGTTACTACGGAATGCAGAGGGTAATGCCGGAGGTTTACCGGGAGCAGCCGGTGTACAGTACGGTCCCACCGCAGCAATCAATTCAGCAGCAGCCAAAGTATGGAGCCTACACTGAAGCCGTCGGAATGGTACCTCAACCTGCAGGCGGAGGCGTTGGGGTTGCTGCTGGAGCCTACACTGAAGCGGTCGGAATGGTACCTCAACCTCCAGGGGGAGGCGTTGGGGTTGCTGCTCAGCCTATGTATGCGCAGGTTGGCTACGACGGCGCTGGGCGGCAGGTTTACTACACCACCACCGCAAGAGGCGTAGTGCCACCGTATCAGCCGGTGACGGCGACTGCTGTGGCGGTTGATGTGAGGCAAACCGGTGGCGCGTTGAACCAAGAAGGTAAGGTGGTTGCAAAAGCTCCCCAGAGTTCTTCAATGTGATTTTCATGTTATTTTAATTTTAATTATTCTTTTTTTTTTTAATTTTTTTTTTTATAAATAAATTTATTAGTTTATCCTTTTGTGGGGTTTGTTTTTGTTGCTATGTCCATGTAACCAGGTTTGTTTTTGTGTGTATAAATGATGAGAACGGAACATTGTTGTGTCATGCGTGCGTAAATTTTATACTAATTCTCTGAATAGTTTTATTGTTCATGACTCTTTGGGATTTTATATTACATTGTTTCTAATTTTACTTGGGGTTAAATCCGTAAAACTTCACTACTTTCAAAATTTTTCTCATAATCCCCGTGTTACAAAACAACCCTTACTGTAAAAATCCGTAATTCAGTTGTGAAATGATAAATTAAATTAAAAATTAAAATTTTAAAATTACAAAAATACCTTTAAAGTTAAATTATTTTCTTCTTATTTATTCCCCTCTTTAACCTCTCACCTCGTAATAGGGGTGACAATACGACCTTCATGATTAACTTACGTTTAACTATAAATTAATTTTTCTTTCAGTTTTAAAATTATTATTTAAACTTGTGTGTTATAATTATAATTCTTTTGTATATTAGATGTTATTTAATAATTTGGTTGGATTGAAACTTATATTTTTCTTTTGTAATATTTATTGTTTGATTGTTTTTGTTAAGTCATTAAACAGGTTATGTGTAATTTATTTAATAAACAAGTCAGGTTGAGGTGCGACGTGATTATGATGCCACCCCAATGTGTAATTCATTTCACAAACAAGTCAGGTTGAGGTGCGACGTGATTATGATGCCACCCCTATCTCTCTCGGTCTCTCTCTAAATCAGAGACCACAAAGGGTCAGTGGTGTTATATACTCCACTCTATTGGCCTAACAATTTCACCCGCCTTCGCTCTCTATTCAATTTAACCTTGATTTGAAGATCCAATTGTGGAAAGTCCTAAGATGGTGGTGTATCATCTCCACTGGCGCAGGCCGTGATGTAGAGGACGGGCAGGACCCTCCGTTTGCCTCGGGCAAGGAGAGGGTATCGCATTGATTCGTATATCATTTGGGGTCCCGGAGCAAAACGGCGACGCTTAGGGCTTGGTTTCAATCATGTGGGCCTTGAAATTGAATACATGAGTTTGTTGTTTTTCGTCAGCGTGAGTGTTATCGTCCTCCGCAATCTGTTCTTTGGTGAGAGTTGCAATGTCGCAGAGCCGGAGAGAGAATGTTGGGTTTGGGAAGAAGAGAGAATGTTGGGTTTGGTACCAAGAAGTGGTTAACTTGGATGGTCGAGCTCCATGAACAACTCCAGTGACAGTTAGCTAACAGCAAGCAAGCTCGCATTGCTTGCAAACTCTGGTGACCAACTCTGAAACAATGACCAAACAGACCTACAACGTGCTCCATTGTAGTTTAGTGAGCTTTGACAGACACGAATTGTTGGATTTTGATGGGCTTTTCGATTTCTTGTTTGTATTGGGTTTTCTTGGAAAAGGTTGGTGTTTGAGAATCGGAGACTGATATGGACGATTCAGCTTTACAAGATAGATAACCCATTGATTATGATATATATATATAAGGTTAAGTGCAAAAAACCTTTATAGATTTTGTGCAAAACTAGTTTTTATTTTTTTAAAATGTTCATGTAAGTCCACAAAATTTAAAAAGGTACAGAACTAGTCTATAAAAAAATAAAATTGAAAATTCCATTTTACCCTTTTGATACCCATTTTACCCCTCACCATATGTGCATATTAACCCCCTAGGCCTATACCCATTTCCTCCTCCCTCTCTCTCTCTAGGGTTATGATATATATATATATAATGTCTTTTTGTGTGAATATATATAAAGTATATATAATACTAAAAGAGTCAACTATTAAGATTAAGAAGGTAGTTTATTGAGAGAAGTTAAAAAAAAAAAAAAAAAGAAGAAGAAGAAGAAGAAGAAGAAGCAAGTATTTCAACTTGACTACAATTCTTTAAAAATAAGAAAAGTTCATATAAAAAATATATATATTTAATCGTCAACTAACTATATATATATAATAATAATAATAAAAAAATAAATAAATAAAAAAGAGTTATGCTAGTTTACTGTTAAAAAAAAAAAAAAAAAAAAACCTTCAAAGATACAACTTTTTGGAAATAGGAAAAGTTCATATATAAAAAATAAAATAAAAAGGTATTAACTCTCTCTTTTAATTGATATATTTATATATATGAATTCCTTAGCTCTTTTGAATTGGGAGTACAAGATACGAATGAGGCAAATGAGAGACTGACCTTGGAAGGATCGACTTTAGGGAATCTCTTGACGATTTCAAGGACTCTCCCGATGACCTCTTCTTTGTCGAGATGATCGTCGCCGTGAGACGACATAGATCGGACGGTGCTGCACAGGCTCAGTTCGGATCCATTTAGGGTTAGGGTTTGAGCAACATTGACTCGAATGTTGCGAAGTACGGCTGCTCTCAAAGCCGACTCCATCCCTCTCCTCTCATCTTTCTCTCTCTCTCTCTCTCTCTCTTCCAAAAAAATAAAAAAAATAAAAGTAACTTATCGTCGGATTCATAGAAATAAGAGCGCTGTTCAACAAATGGAAGATCAAGGTCAATTTACATTATATTATGCTGAAGGCCAAAAAGCCAATAGACACACTAGATAAATTATTCCTAAATATGATGACAGACATCAAAAAAATAATTGAATTTGCCCTCTTTTCATCCAAGCAACAAGGCAGAAATCAGATGCTAAATTACGTCACTAATATCGTTATCAGTATAACACATCAATGGCTAAAGGGCAAAACGATGAAAATCAACGAGCAACATCGTACGAAAATCGAGGAGAGCTTTGTTCACAGACATGGCATTCTTATATATATACTCGTCGAGCAGAGTATATATATATATATATATATATATAGAGAGAGAGAGAGAGAGAAAAAAAAATGCTAAAAGACTCGACTACTGTTCACCCGACATTAGCTGACACACTTGTCAAATGCAGATTGGTATAGCTGGGCAGACGATTTTTCCCTTTCTTGACGCAACTTTACTTTCTCTCATCTCTCTTTCGATCCTCTTTCTCCCTTCTCTCTCCGGTGGAGAATCCTTCATCTCTCTCAAACGTTCCCTTCTCCCTCCCTTCTCTCTCGGTTAATCACAAGTTTTTTTTTTGCTTTCTCGTGAAGACCTATTTCTTCCAAGTTCATCATCGCTGGGATTTCACTGTCGGCAACCATAAGCCTCCGGCCTGTGCTTGTCTTCTCCATCGTCAGCGTCTCCGTGGCGCCGAGGACCAAACTCACCTTCACCACGGTAGACCTAGTTCCGCCTTTGCTACCCAAACCAGAGGAGACCAACAAAATTCCGGCGACGAAGTGAGATGATGGCGATGTCGCGATGAAGTGAGATTATCCCGTCGGCGATGAAGTGAGATGATCCCTTTGGTTTCACAGAATAGTTGGGTCGGCGATGAAGATCCGGAGATGTTGATCTTGTCGTGATGGAGGCGGCGACGGCGAGCAAGAGATGGGCTGTGGTGCTGCACCGATTGTGACTCGCGGCGGTGTGATGGCAGTGAGTATGGGCTTTGGACAACGGTAGAAGCTTATTGTGAGGATGTTGATGGCGGCGCCGGCGAAGAGGGAGATGGCTGGGTTCGATCCGGTCATAGAGAGCCAGCGAAACAGATCCGGGTCTTGGACTTGCAGCGCGGTATGCTTGCGGCGGCGGTGCCCAGCTGGATGGTTCGGACGGTTCGCTGCACCGGCGAGGATCAGCTGGAGATAGGCAAGCTTAATCGGCTGTGGATGGCGGCTGGAGCTAGTGAACTATATAACGAGGGAGAATGAAAGAAGTGAGTTTGATTTTTACAGATTTTGTAGTTTGCAGAGAGAGAGGATGGGTTTACCGGTGGTCGTGGAATTTTAACCGGAAAGATGGGTTCATCGCCGATTGTTAGAGAGAGAGAGGAGGGAAAATTGCCACGTTGGACAGCCACCTACGCTGTCGGTTTTTTTCGGGTAAATAGTGGTCGGGTCGTGTAGCACCGTTCATATATATAACACCCAGAAAAACTATAAAACATAAACTATATAAAATAGTTGGGGAATATTTGGTTTTAGTTTTAATAATATTCAGGTTTAGGTTATCTCTATTTTATACAATTTGAGATTTATTTTATCCTTCTGCCAAACAAACACAATTTTACACAAATTTGGACAAAAAGGTCATTTTACATGGCCGGTATTTATAATCATTAATTTATTCAATTGAAGTGAGGGTATTATCGTCATTTTACACCACATAGGGACCTATTTGCACCAAATTGATAGTATATAAATTTTTTTACCACACAGGGACTAATATGCACTATATCGATAGTAAAGGGGGGGTTTTTTGCACTTAACCTTCTTTTTTTTTTTTTTTTTTTTTTTTTTTTTTTTTTTTTTTTTTTTTTTCTAGTTGGGACTAACACACATTGCCTCCACTAAGGTTCGAACTCCTGACCTCCCTTTAGAAAGTAGGAGCATTGTACCGCTAGGCCATAGGCCTGTTGGTAAATTTTGTATTTGTCAATTAAACTCACATAAGTATAAAAAGTGAATAAATTTTGTATCTGTCAATTAAACTAACATAAGCATAAAACGTGAAGAAACTTTTTCCAAAAGGTTTGTTTATGGAGATCTTCTGCAAATTGAAAGATGTGCTTTGATGAAACTTAGAGAGAAGGTCTTAGTAATACTTAAAGGGTAATTTTGTAATTTTAATTAAAAATAATTTTTAGTTTTAAATTTTACATTAAATAATAAGGTCAAATTTGTCATTTTACAGTCCAGTTAACGGGTTGGACACGGATATTAGGGGCAATATGATAATTTTTTGAAACAGACAAAAATTTGAAAGTAGTGGGGGATTTTTATGATTTTAACCCTTTAACTTAAAAAAAAAAAAAATGGCTAATATTCCAATTTTATCTGGAATGTCCATTTAGCCGATATGTGAGGGCGAGTCTGATATAATGGGTTACCATTACTTCATTGCGACTTAGAGATTATAATTTCGAAACTGAAAAACAGTCTCATAATCGGTAAGACCGGCGACATCGAGTTTGACCTTTTTTAAATTTTCTAGTGGTAGAAGTCTCGTGCATTGGATAAGAATGTTCTTCATGCAAGCTTTGATTTAATATATGGGTCATAAGGTTTTGTTTAAGATGC